TGTGCTTTTATTGATATTTCTGACCCTTTTGTGGATAAGATGGTATGTCAGGAGTTCTAAGACGGATTGTTGCCGGTTTTTGAGGAAGGGGAAGAGCCTACAGTGGAGCTTTTCGAAGTAGGAGAAGGCCATTCCCGAGCTGAGACCACACTTGAGTTTAAGGAGCTGCCCAAGCACCTTAAGTATGTTTTCTTGGATGATGCCCATCAGAAGCCGGTGATCATCTATGCTGAGCTCGACAGAGAAGAAGAAGAGGAGCTGATATCTATGCTCAGAAAGAACCAGAAGGCAATCGGGTGGAGCCTAGGAGACATCAAGGGGATTAGTCCCTCTACTTGTATGCACCAGATTATCTTGGAGGACGGAACCAATCCTTTTCGGGATAGCCAGCGACGGCTAAACCCGAATATGATGGAGGTGGTGAAGAAAGAGGTACTTAAGTTATTTTCTGAGGGATTGATCTACCCGGTGGCTAGTAGTGAGTGGGTCAGTCCTATTCACGTGGTGCCGAAGAAGGGAGGTATAACCGTGATAAAAAACGACAAGAAGGAGTTGGTCCCCACCCGCATCACTACCGGGTGGCGTATGTGCATCGACTATAGGCGGCTGAACACCGTGACCAAGAAGGACCACTTCCCGTTGCCGTTCATTGACCAGATCCTTGATCGTCTATCGGGCCACCAGTTCTACTGTTTTTTGGATGGGCTCTCCGGCTACTACCAAGTGGCCATAGCACCCGAGGATCAGCCCAAGACGACGTTCACGTGCCCCTTTGGTACTTTCGCGTTCAGACGGATGTCCTTTGGCCTATGCAATGCCCCGGGCACATTTCAGAGATACATGTTCTCTATCTTCTCAGATATGCTTGAGGACTGCTTGCAGGTATTCATGGACGACTTCTCTATATTTGGTAATTCTTTTTCCCATTGTCTTAGCAATTTGTCTAGAGTCCTTGAACGTTGCATTGAGTCCAATCTGACCTTGAGTTGGGAAAAGAGTCATTTTATGGTCAAAAGTGGAGTTGTTTTGGGTCATATTGTTTCTTGTTGGGGGATTGAGGTCGATAAGGCCAAGGTTGATGTGATTGAAAAACTTCTCCCTCCTGTGAATGTTAATGGGATTAGAAGTTTCTTGGGGCATGCGGGGTTCTATAGGCGTTTCATTAAGGATTTTTCAAAAATTAGTCAGCCTCTTTGTCATTTGCTTGCCCAAGATGTGCCATATGTCTTTGACGATGCTTGTTTACGTGCTTTTAATGAGTTAAAAAGCAAGCTTGTGAGTGCCCCTATTGTGATTGCCCCTGATTGGTCGATTCCTTTTGAAATCATGTGTGATGCATCTAATCTTGCTGTGAGCGCCGTTTTGGGTCAACGGGTTGATAAATTGCTTCGAGTGATTTATTATGCTAGTTTGACTCTTAATGGGGCCCCACAGAACTACACTACCACCGAAAAGGAACTTCTAGCTGTGGTCTTTTCTCTTGAAA